GTCCAATCATTATTCGTACCTACCTCCTCAAATTCACGTAAATTTGGCGTATGGTTTATACCATCAAAACGATTTGAAAATAGTTTTAGATAATGGAAGTGAAGAAAATTCAATAATCAAATTTATTAGTATAGTATTTATTCCCGTTCTTCCTTGAGCAAAAAACCAAAGCCATCCCATGATAGTACAGTTACAGTGTACAGTATTCTCTTATAATATTTAACCAAGAATTTCGAAATTTTATGCATTCATTTCCGCTTTTGTGACCGTTATGTTATACCTACTGGATAACTTGTAGTAATATGGTAGTTTTGTTTTGATCGCGTTTAGAGAAATTATTACTTTGTAATATTATAATTATTATTATAATTTCGATATACTGGTATATAAACGCATACGGTTATAGTCGGAACTCGGTAGACTAAATCAAATGAAAGACGCCCTAAATTATAGTGTTGGTAGTATGGTGCTGTGAAATTCGCATATGTAATATTATAAAGACGTATTCAGCGAAAAACGATTATCCCGGACGATATTGTGAGGGTTCTTATTATACTTACGCTTTGTTATTATATGAGTATAATATCGTCTCGAATATATACGTTTCATACCTTCAATTCAAATCGTTCAATTGCAATATTATATAGTATACCAATAAAATAGCAACGAAATCAATAACGTTTCGTTTGAAAGTCTGCGTTATCTTTAAATAAAAAAATATTTTAATAGATCTCGGCAAACCTTTTTACTCCACGCATATTATACTAATCAGCAAGGCTGGGCATTAACAAGTTTAAAAGTTAAGTAATTTTAACTTTTAATTTAGTTTTTAATATTTGATTTTAGATTCGGAGTATAGCGAGAAATACATTGGTTTTAAATTGATATATTATTTTTATTCTGTAAAAAACTTTTCTATTTGAAATCTTGCTCCGATATATCAAATACTGCACCTTTTCTGAAAGGAAATTTAAACTACTTGGTACTTAGAGAAAGTTATTTTTCGTTTTTTCAAACAGTTTTTATAATAAATGGAAATAACCGGAAAAAAACGTAGAAAAAACGATAAAATGTACGTACACGTGTAAAACAAAATTCACTCCGAATTGTTTTTCATTTAGTTTATCGTGACGTATACAAATATAAATTAAATTTCCCTCTATACCCCATCTTCCCAACTTCTCACCTACAACAGTGGCCGTCTTGTTTTTATTAACTTAACTATTACAACTTTTTACAACAGACAACAGATGTTAATTGTTATCGAAAATTAAAAAGTGTGCCATTTTATAAAATGTATATGTATTACGTTGTACAGCTTCTTATTTTATTATAATAAGATTGTTATCCCGAACTAAAAGCAACATTCGTTCTTAGGTACCAAATTTGTTCACCAATTCCGATCACTGCAGGTTTTAATTCGTTAAATTGTTACCGAAAATGTCTGATATATAATATGTTATGTAAAACTTATGTGCAATAATGTATAAAACATTTTCACTTCGTGATATTTCGTGTATTATTTCAGTAATTTAATGATTGATTCTGCAGTTATGCAACATTAATAAATTTAAATTGTTAAAAGTAACCATATGATTGGTAACTGGAAAAAGTCCAAAAGTTAACGGGTATGTTTGGTCTATAGGTCTGTAGAAATATAAGAAAATATTATTGATAAAATTGAATTTTTAATATAGATTCTGTGGGAAAAGGAATACTAGCTATGGTATCTATCAAAAATGTACATATTATATTTTTATTTCGAACAGCTTTTTTTATAGGAATGCATTCAACAACATGTATACGCTATAATACAATTTCATGTAGTAACTTTACGACCAGATAATTTAAAATATGTATGTGAAATATTTTAAAGTATTAATTTTTGTTCAGGGTGGCACGTAAAAATAAAAATAATAATAATAATACGAAACGGTACATAAGAAAAAAAAACTACGATAATAAAATTGGATTGAGAAGCATTTTATTAGATAGTTTTAAATCAAAATGGCTAGGCTAGTATATAATCAAGGAACGCAGTTTATCAGTGACGTGTTTTAGAATTTTTAATAGGACTATGCCGTGAATAATAAGTTATGATGATTCATGAATACATCTTAAAATATTATTCTGTGTTACTTAAACCAACAATGAGAATTTAAAAGTAATTTTTTATTCAATAAATTAAGCTTTTTTTTATCGTGACCTGTCTAAAATATATTATTTTAAGACAAAATTACTACATAAATATACTCACAGTGGTATTTGTAAGACCATTAGGGGAGATATCCCTCCTAACCTTCTCCAGAGCATTTCACTTTTCTGTATACATTATTTTGTTTTAGCTCATATTTCAATAATAACCCAAAACGTTTAAACTTATAACTTTGTATTTTACTCCAATTTGTAAGAAAATGTATTTATTTTGTACAAAATCATGCGTTTTCTATCTATACTTGGACTTGGGTAAACACACTTCTCAAAGTCGATAAAGTAGTCAGATGAATTTTCGAATCTATTATCACAAAGTATAAGTATTAGTATTGAGATCTTGATATTTTTATTTTAATATAAATGATGTATATTATTTTGATAAGTGGTTAATATTTTAAAATTTAATTTAATAAAACGTTTAAAACAACTTTTAATTAAAAATAAAAAAAGCTGATCCTGTTGACAGGTGTAAGTGGGAAATTGAAATTGTTGGCAAAGGAGGATATTCACCATATGGAGTAATTTATACGAATTATGTTTACGAAAAACAATTCTGAGCGGATTTCATTAAAACGTGTTTTAAAATGCCGTAATTTTTACGATTTTCGTCAGAATTTCAACTTAAAACGATTATAAAAAAAACCATTACAACCTTCAACATAAATAAACATATTTATTTTCAAGTATTTCCACTCGACTAAAGCAATAATTTACCACATAAAATCAAATAAAACTAAAAAAAACTAAACAATTTCAAATGGGCCTATAAATAGCTTAACAATATCCAAAATAACTTAAAAATTTGACTTCGTCTAAATAGAGTTAATGTATAATGTTTGACATTTAAAATGTTTTTTCGTATTTCTACAAATATTTTAACTAAATAACGACAAAAGAACAAATCGAAATTATTGCGTAAATATTCCTATGCTTTTGATGTTTTTTCTCAACTATTAAAAAACCTATATGGAAAATCAAAAATATGACCTTCAAGATATCATTTTTTTTTTTCTAAAAATACTGTACGCTTGATAATAAAGATAATAGATTTCTGTAAAACAAATTGTTCACAGGCAGAGGAAATAAATATAAATAAAATATATCATAATAGTAAAATAAATACGTATTCCGATATGCTTAGAATTATAAACTAATACTATTACGGAAGATAAAAATAATACATTTACATCTAGTATATTTATATAATAAGTATTTCTTCGTAAAATCATATTATTCGTCATAAAAATATATGGATATTGTTCTTCGTAACAAAAAAAAAACCCATCGGTTTAAATTGGTCTCGATATTATCATCAGTACAAGCCTCTATATTCTATATTATAATGTCTTGTGGTACCATAAAACAATAAAGAGCTTTATCAATATGTTCTTGGTACGCAATCTAATAATAAAAATACACATTTAATGTAATGTACTAATGTCCAAGTACTATATATAAACCTATATTAGAGTGAAATAGTTTTACAAAAACCACGATTTTATGTTCTGATTAAACTAGGATTGAGCATAATGGTTAAGTTCCATGTCATAGCCAGGATGGACTCTGTGTTATACCCCCATACCCTATTGGAAATATTTCTGAGTGGAGCGAAGAAACTTATAGTTTTACAAAAATGTTTTTTTTTTTTTTTTTTTTTTATTATATGTGCGCAACTTTTTTACCAGAAGACTTGCTCGGACTTCTACCTGTAGCGTCTTTTCTGAAAAGAAATTGGCATAGGAAGGTTTACATTAGGGAGGTCATTTTTCAATTTTCTCAGAAGTTTTCCCAGCAAATGAGAAAAAACAGGATAAAACATGGGAAAACGGTGAAAAACGTAAGAAAACTGAGAAAATTGGTACAACATTAAACAAATTTTATTAAAGTAAATATATAAAGCCTATACAATTATTTTACTACAAAATTACATATATATTGTTGACAAAGCATCACTATCAACTAAACTCTGCTCAGAATTGTTTTTTCGTAAGCAATGGTTTATCGTTGCTTACAGGTATTCATTAAATTACCTATAACAGTGGCTGCCCCCGTCCTCATTATTCAAGGACAGTTTTTTTACGGTATAAGGATGACACTTGTTTCTTATGCTGTTTGGATGAGATTGGTTGTGAATTAGTGGCATATTTAAATGGTTATTTAGAGTGGTTAGATGGTTTAGATGGTATTTAGAATAGTTTATTGTTGCTTACAGATATACATTAAATACCCGTCTATATCCTACCTTCCCAACTTCCCACCTACACCAATGGCTGCACCCGTTCCCATTATCCTTTCTTTTTTCTCTTTTTAGCATCCGGTTTTTAAGTTACCAACTTCCATAGATTCGAGTCACGCAAATAAGAAGATTTTACAATTCTTTTTTTTCTTGCCACGTCACCTCCCGCTGAAAATTCCCGGTCACGCCACTGTGAATGACGATCACAACCGCGGTGTGACGTAGCCAAAACAAAAAAAAATTAGATGGCCAATATTATTTTCGTTACTAACCAACAACAACTATTATTATAGTCGTACTATGGTGTCCACCAACGAAACATACGATCCAACGAATAACAAACACGATTGCGAAATAGAAAATAGTTATTTTTTGCACGCACTCATGAATATGTCTGTCAAAATGCAATACAGCAGTAAGAATTCCGGAACCGTTACGATGGCTGACCCGTTGACGATCACCGTGAACGTGGCTCGAGTGGGTTTCAGTTTCACGGAACATTACTACTACGTAATGCGTACGACACCAAAGTACGCAAACCAATTTTACGATGATTTTGGCGAGTACCTACGAGGACGGAACGTCCGTCGTGGCCAGGACCCAGCTAGAGATGAAAAAGGTTTTGTTGCAACCCGTGTCCACACCCGATTCAATCGTTAACTCGATTATCTCGGTACCTTGTGATGGATCGCTTAACCGCCTATTGGTTACCGTGAACGCCCAGTTTACGCACGTTTTTGTCGCAGAGTACAGTGCAGAACGACCGCTAACTTACGACATTGTAGCGTCTTCCACTCGACATATTTCCGCCGGACCAGCCGCTGACCGGCCGACCCTGGCAACGACTTTTGCTGCAAGTGACTACCGTGCTGACACAGACGCCAATCACACACCAACCGCCGGTTCAAAAGCGAAGAAACAAGTACGATTTGGGCTCAATATAGCCACTTACCACGAATTCGATCCCAAAACCGCCATTGATATAGCGCAAGCCGAAATCGCTGCCGAAAACCAACAGAGGTTGGTCAACATTTTAAAACACATTCTCCTTCACATACTTCCTCTTGAAGTTGTCAAAACCTACAACAAACCCTCCTCTCCGAATGACGCCACTGAAAATCAGCCATTCAGAATTTTAAAACATATTCTCCACCACATACCTCCTCCTAAAGTTGTTGACATTTCTCGAAAACCTTCCTCTCCGAATGACGCCGCTGAAAACCAGCCAATCAGAATTTTAAACCACATTCTCCAACACACACCTCCTCTTAAATTCGTTGATACCTCTCGCAAACCCTCCTCTCCGAATAACGCCGTAAAATTCCTGCCATTCAGAGTTTTAAAACACATTCTCCACCATACACCTCCTCCTAAAGTCGTCGAAACCTCCCGCAAACCCATTTCTCCGAATGACGCCGCTGAAAACCAGCCAATCAGAATTTTAAACCACATTCTTCAATACACACCTCCTCTTAAATTCGTCGAAACCTCCCGCAAAATCTCCTCTCCGTTTTAATAATGTCAAACCCATTTCAACTTTATTCGAAAATGTAGGTATTATCTTAAATCCATTTTATACGTGCTGTTTTGCCTAATAAAAGTTTCGATTAGGTACCGATGTCTTCCATTTTCAGTTTAGATTTAATATATTTACTTCGTTATCCTATTACAAATACGCCCTAAGTTGGTAATTATATGTGTCATATATATTCCGAGGTAGTAACTGAGTTCACCTCAATCTTATGTATCAAATTATTATTTTAATTTGTCTTTATGATATTTGTTGTGTCTTTTTCGTGACTTTCTGCTCAACTCTTGATTGTTGATTGTGGGTTGTCCATTCGTTTTTCTGACCGTTCTTCATTGGTCGATGTTGGCTGCGTATCTTTTTTCAGGTTGTCTGGTTGTTCATTACAGTGTTCTATTGGTTCATCAAAAACCATTTCTCTGGCTGTGACTATTCTTCTTACGTAAGGTAATCATATTCTTTACCCGTTATGTGTATATTCAAACATTTTTCCTTTTCGAGTTTGTTTGTTCAATTAGATTCTCATTTTTGTTAGAATGTGTACAAATACATCTGAACCGAAAACTCTAAAATGTTCAATTTTGAATATATCTTCTTTGTCTTAAACGGTAGTCCGGTTTGTGTTCTTGCTAAACACGGTTCACAAAATCTTTCCTTGTTCGAGCATAAACGAATGTCACGGACGCCCGTTAGATGCCCATGCCCATGCCACCCACCTTCCATGAGCAGCCTTATCTTGGCATGTCACCCGGCAGCGCAAGCTTTCGGTCCGCATCTTCTGGTCGTTTATTTACCGTACAGTTTTTTTTTCACACACCGTTCCAAAAGGGGTAAAAAAGTGTGTAAAACATTAGTGTGATCAAGACTTGTATTCGGTACTACCCTTTACACTCGCTACGTGCGTCTCCACGCATCCAATCTATATCGCAGTTGTGGCTTATTCACCGGAAGGACCGGCTCTCCAATGACGCCCATTTGCACACGTGGAATTGACTACGCCTTGCCCGTCACGATGTTCTCTCATTGATCACAAAATACACGGCTGTACAAAACTGTCACCGTGCTTATGTGGCTAAGCGTCAAGGCGATCCAATTTAAAGCTGTCGAGGTCTACTATTACGGGACCAATTTCATTGACGCCGACCGGCGGCTTCGTCAACTAGCGAATAGCACCACGGCGCAGGTCGTTATCACTGCCGCCGCTTCATCCTGTACGTGGCGTTTAAATATTTGTATTCTCATCGTATGAAATTTATGTTATTTCATATTATATGTGTGTGGTTTATTTTATTGTGTGAGGTAATTATTATCAATTAAGAAAGTAGTATATTTTTAAATTTATTTAATGAAATTAACGTTAACAGACAAAACATAATTTTGAACTCTGAAATATTTTACTTTCATAAGAATTTTTTCGTAATTTTACGGAAGATTATTTTTCCAAAAAACTGAAAATGATCGAACAATTTGTAGACGGTTTTTGGTTTGTTAAATGACAGTTCAAAATTTCATGAAACTATCAATACAACTATAACTGAATGTATAAATATAGCTGATTAATCATTGCACAATATATTTAAGGACACTATATTTAAGTTTACTGAAGGGAGTTGCATCATATCCTGACGCTGTCACTTGATTCTGTCGTGAGCATTTCTTTTTTTTTTTTTGGGGGGGGGGAATTACAATAGGAAACCGTGATTACAATAAGGTGCAACACAGATGTCATATCGTGTTGCTCGAAACTATTACTATTAATAATATAGAATAAAGATCAAATGAAATATTTAAAGATTCATTCAATGGATAACATCTTATATAGTAGCGTTTGTACTATACATAGTTAAGATATAGGGTTCGAGTGGATAGGAAGTCCCTAAACCGGTCCGAATATTCCAGTCCCTCTAAAAGTTTCTAAAAAGATTTTTTTTTTCCTCGGTTTTAATTTTTTACTGTACTATAAACACATAGAACGGTTATTACATAGACATTTGAATCCAAAATTAACGATTTAATCCATCCAAAAATCCCGTATTCAAAGTCGAAAAAAACCAGATTTCCAACGATTTTTAACCAACGATATTGTAGAGTTTAATCTCAGAATGCCCTCCTCATACTTGCCCTTTCCTCGGCGTGTGTGTTTTGAGGCACAAGAAATATTATCACTGACGTATAATAATATTATTATTGTTATTATTTCGACGATACGACTCTCGCAAATGTTCATCTAACACAACACTCACACTATAAATATATTTATTTTATTTTATTCAAATAACCGCCTGAAATTTACGAGAAGTAAACTCGTGTACACAAAAGCCGCTTCGTTCGCGCGGCAAAAATCAACTTCAAAGAAGAAAACAATCAACGACGACGATGACGGTCCAAAAACCCCGCACCACGACTACCAACTCCGCAACCTCACTGGCATCGGGACCAAAATAACAATAACAACGACGGCGCGCGGCGCTCGAATAAACAACGCGATGCAAATAATTCTACCCGCGCGCAAAATGTCGCCTCTGGTGTATAGTGAGTCTCTAATAACCAACAATCTGCATCGACGACTATAACACTAAAACCATCGTGCCGCTTTTCGAATTGCCCCAGCGAGTTTAAATTAATTATATCAGACTCCGACCATCGTCGTCGTTTTTCCCTTTTTGACTCTCGCTGTGTACAAGATCTCGTAAATTTAATATATATATTATAAATATAAAAAGAAAAAGTGAAATACAACAGCGGACTTTTGCACTTTAGGTAATAATAATAAACCACGGCGTTTTTCCGCAATGGATGACAGCAACTACATATATATATATATATATATATATATATATACATACATATATTTATAGAGAAATAATCCAGAAAACCCTTAAGTATATAAACATGATAAATTGTATTCTGAATTGAGCTTAATAAAGTTAAAACTTCGGTATACATATATGAATCGCTAAATACAGACATAGCACATGTTCAAATTATAACATTTTTCAAAAGAAGACATAAAACTCCTTAAGAGGATGTCACGCCCACATGTGACTTGTCTACGTCTTATTAAAGCACAACACATCAAATTACATTGCATATATGATTAGAACATACATTTTGACGTTTAAGTTGAAATTGGAGTTTATACACAAATAATAAAACGAACCGACATACTTCTAATGTTTTTTTTTTTTTTATCTGTATGCAATTTTTCTATCAGCAATTTGTATTGCTCCGATTTATGATGATAGTACTTTTTCTAAAAGATAATTTTATTGGAGAGGTATTTTAGACAGGTTATTTTTCGATTTTTCCAGGAGATTTTCTCAACAAATGTAAAAAACAAAAAACAAAAAAAAACGGGAAAATTTACGAAATAAACTAACACCTACTATTAGTAAAAATATTACGGCCTTCTTTTTTCCTGTGTGCAACTTTTCTACGAGCCATTTACATGTTACTGATTTACAATGATAGCACTCTTTCTGTAAGGAAATCTGACAGGGAAGATACTTAACAGAGGTCATTTTTCAATTTTTTCAAGAGTTTTCCCAGCAAATGTAAAACATCAGGAAAAACGTAGAAAAACCGGGAAAATCGGTATAAAATATAAAATACCTATTTAATTATTTTACAATAATATGACATATATATATATTGTTGACAAAGCATCGCTATCAAATAAACTCGACTCAGAATTGTATTTTCTTTAGCAATGGTTTATCCTTGCTTACAGATGTATATTAAATTACCTGTAACAGTGGTTGCACCCATCTCCTTTATCCTAAGACAGCTTTTTTGTAAATAGATGTGATATATATTTTACAGTTCACCCGTATCTATAAACAATAGCAATAAATAATTAAACTTTAGCAGCCAACAGTCAGTTTTCATCAACTACGTTTATTTCACTGAATTATTTGGTAACAAAACATTTTGATTTAATAAGGATAAGAAACAATAATTTGATCGGTTTTGTAAAAAAAAAAATATAATCCATTTTCCAACCAAATCTATAATGTCTCCGTGGATCAAAATATCACTTCACCGAATATTTGACCATTTAATCTTATTCATTAGATATATTTTTTATTTTTACTTGTTTTACTTATGTTTATTGAGTTGGTGAAAAACAGTGTTTCTTAACGTAGGCGGCACCGCCCGTTAGAGAGCATTTCGATCCTCCGAGGGGGTGGTTACCACTAGTATAAAAATTGCTGACTGATAAAAAGTAAAAATGCGAACAATAATCATGTTTATTCATATGGAAAGAAAAATTCAAATTAAAAGAGACTAATTGGTCATTTATCTGAATTTAGTGTTGCTAAATTTAAAAAAGGACGGATATACTTCGTACGTGGGTGCAGCTACTGTTGTAGATGGGAAGATAGAATACGGAAAAGAGTTTAATGTATATCTGTAAGCAACGATAAACCATTACTAATGAAAAAACGATTCTGAGTGGAGTTCAGTTGATAGTGTTGCTTTTTCAACATTACATACGTCATATTATGTTAAAATAATTACAATGTGCGTTTCCATGGCAATAATGATTGTTTAAAGTAATAAAAACTTAATAATAACAAAAAATAAATAAAAATGGTTGCCAATGACAACCTTATTTTTAATATTTTAATATTTTTAACCTAAAGAACCAAGTTTTCCTCATTGTCTCGAAAATTAATGTGAATTTCAGAAAAAGTGTTCACATCATTATAAAACCAATACATTCTTTGCTCCACTCAGAATGATTTTACGATTTTGTCTTAAAATAATTATTTTATTTTTAGTTGGCTGTTATATTAATAAAAACGAATTACATGTTTCAATTATCCACCGAATCAAAATTTTATCTTACTTGCCTATCCAGATAATTTTATAAAATTTTTATTTAAAATAATTTGGCTTTAAATAAAAAATCACTATGTAATAATTTTGTTTTTAGGTATTAAAAACTGATTTTATTGATTACAGAGCTACTGAATTGTATACAA